AGCTCGGGACCGGCTCGGCCACCCCGCCCGGGCCGCGGCCTCCGGGGTGCATCTCCGTGCGTGGGTGCTCGGTGCGGGGAGCGCGGCGCAGGACGCGCATTCCTGCGCTCGTCCCCCTGCGCGTGGGCTGACACCTTTCCGCCCAGGACTCCGCGGTCTAACTGTACCGCCGTCAGATTTTATATGTCACCATTATTTTTATTAAAGTCTCGTGGTCACAGGGACCACGACACATGCATTATATAACCCTGCGTGGGCGGCAACAGCTGCTTCTAAGCCGGAAGGGGAAGCAGAGGAGCCCTGGCTACTCAGGTGTTTGGAATACACGCGTGAATGAAGGCTGCGAAGGGCACCAGGGTGGGATCTGAGAACTTTTCCGTCCGTGGAGCTAACGGTTTGGGGTGGAGATTATGAGTTTATTTCCTGAGATATATATATAATCTTGAGGGTCCAAACCTGAGAAGTGCTGGGGCTTTTTCGGGAACATCCTTCCGTGTCAGTCTGGTGGATAAGTCGCTTTCAGAGTAAATACGAATGACAAGTAGGCTTAGTCATTAAAAGGATCAGGGATACGGGCAAGAGAAGGGTTCCGACGCACAGGTGAGGGGCGCCGTTTGCCATTCTCTGAAGGACCCAGGGGTTTGTGTGTTAGGTTTGCTCCAGGGCCCTCTATGAAGACCCGTGTTCCACCTGCCAGATATGTGCCCCGAGGAGATAATCCATGACTTTCCAGGACTGCTACTTTCAGTCAAGAATCTTTAACAACAAAGCATTTTACTCTAAAATATAGGAATTTCTTTCATCATTTGCATATTTAGTTCACCCTGACCCCTGGGGCCAGGTATTCCTCTCCCCTTGGAGCACTAGGTAGTCACCAAGGGAAGAGGAGCCCTAGCCCCTCCAGCCAAGGCGGGGGCCAGGGCACTACCTGGCTGGGTCAAGGGCCGTGCACAGACTCTTCAGGCCAGACACCAAAGCCTACTACCATAGAAGACAGGCCAAAACTGTTTTGAGGCATTCACAATTTGCTCTTTAAATATATAGTAGAGGTTCATGTAAAATCCTTAAAAATTTCCAAAGCCATCAGCTTTAGTACAAAGAGACTTTCTCCCCTGAAGGACTTCCTTTCAGGATTTTTGTGGAAGCATCCCCTCCCTCCCTGAGGCCCCAACACCGCCTAGTTTTAACACCCTCAGGTGATACCTATACCAGGAAACAAAATCCTGGCCTCCATCCCAATTTGCTGTGTGTACAGAGCAGTAAAATTTGCAAACCCTAACCCTACCGCTTTTTTCGGTCTTATGCTACAGTATATTCTACCTCACCAACCGCTGTGCCCATCTCTACATTCCCAATGCCTTCCATAACAAGCGCTCAATAAATCGTTGTTAGCAAAGTAAATAAATGAAGATAGAGACTGATACCTCTGTACAACAGGCCGTCTTGCTAGGCTTTATTAGTACCTTGCACACAGTAGGAACCTAAAACTGTTGATGGTGGGGACACCTCCCTTAGCACACACGTTCACAGACCAGGAGAGGTTTTTTCCTGACCATCAGAGTTCTCTTCTGTGTCTACAGAATTTCACAAGATGATAGAGAGGAAATGAATGTAGCTACGGAACCACTTGGCTGAGGAGCAGGTATGGAGGACAAAAAGGGAGGAAAGGTGACTGTATTCAGAGACCCTAGGATGACATGTTTCAAAATGAGTTCAGCTGGAACACAGTATGCCTAAATTTTATGATAAATTTATTTTACTTTTTTTTTTGTCTTTTTTGAGACAGGATCTTGCTATGCAGTTCAGGCTGGCCTTGAGCTCATTTTGTAGCCCAGGCTGGTCTCGAACTCCCAACGATCCTCCTACCTCAGCCTCCTGTGTGCTGGGATTACAGGTGTGCGCCACCATGCCCGGCTATTACTTTCAAAATACTAAAAGCATCTGCGTTATATAAACTAAGAGCAGAAAAGTATTTTCAATCTATAATCTCAACACAGATGACT